GAAGAGCNAAGAAGCAGAGAGGAACATGATGCAGAAGAAGAGCAAGACAAGCACAGAAGCCCTATTCCATAAGTACATCGGCGGAAGCACTTCCAGTTCCAACTTCAACAAAACAGAAAAAGGGTATGAAGAATCCAAAAGAAGAGTGCCCAGTTGCCCAGATCAACTCCACAACTAGTAAAACTGTTCAAATTTCCTTCTTTTTTTCCTGGGAAATATTTCTGGAATTAAAACCAAAACACCCACGTTTTTCTCATATCGTTTGGCAAGTTTTAATCTTTTCTTTTTGTAATTCACCAAGTGAGAAAACCGGGGGTATTTTGGTTGATTAATCTGTTTTAATTAATTTCTTAAGATTAATGGATCACAAATCATGATGTGTACAGAGAAAAGTTTAGGAATTTGTACTAGTATTTCTTTGCTAGCTACCAGCAGAGTCTCCGTACGTATGTACTAGTTTTCCAAGATCCCATACATCTTTTGATCTTTTAGCTTTTCTTTTTGAGATATTCAGAATATCGAATATATATCATCATCAGAGATAGAGTGTTGGCAGCAGAAAAATATTTTTGCAAAATTACTAACACAGAGATTCTTTGCTTTCTAACAGCAACAATACAAAAGCATTTTCTACTTTCTTTTTTTTAAAAAAAATTAGATCTTGGTTATACTAATTTTGATCAATAATCTAACGGCTTCCTAGCAAATTCCTGAAATCAAGTGAATGGTCTATTCTGGTGAGAGCTAAAAGATCTCGATCGATCAAATATTATTATTCTGGGATTATTAAATGAGTCTGTGATTTTGTTTGCCTTTTCCGATGAAAAATCATAAATAAATGTTATAGTCTCTGGGATTGGCGTATCCGGTAGGGTTTTCCTCTGCTTACCTGTATAGGGTTTGGTTCCTGTCTTATTTCTTAACTTGGTAAAGAAAAAAGTTTGAATCTTCCATCTTCCAAAAGAGAAATTTTTATTTGTGATGAGAACACGACTGGTATATTACGTGTTTTTATGTAAATGGTGGAAAATTTTAATTTTTAAGTTATTAATCTTTTAACACACACATTTCACCATTTATATATACACACATGATATACCATCTCGTATGACGATCATAATGAAAAAATCTCTCATTTCAGAAAGCTTAACGCTGCTTAACCAGCAATAAATTTTAAATTTTACAACACCACCCCATATATGGACAATTGTTGTGTTCATCGCGTAGTTGCACCTACTTGTCCATATGTTTTTATTAAGGTATTTAATTGTAGATACAATAATTGGAATCATTTTATTTCATCAATCGTGAAATATCTATCTCTGCAAATATAGTGATTAAACTGAAATCATCGATTTGTATAACATACGTACCTATACGACTACTATATAATCTTTAATTTGATTGAATTCTTACAAATAATTTTTAAATAATGGATAAGAAAATGAACGGTTATGATTGTTATATGATGATACTATGTTAAGTACAATTCTATGTATCCGTGTAGAATAAACGCAAGTATTGTCCTCTCAAACTGGATATAATATATGATTTGAAGCCCTTTCAAGTCATCTCGTGTAAGTTGTAACATTGGTAGCAATTTCTAATCATGGAGTCTGAATAGTTGCTGTACCTGGCTACATATTTTAAGGTCATGAGGGCCTGAGCCGTTGACTCTCTTGTAGTAGTCTTTTAACAATTAAACAGTTCAAACTTCAGGATTAATTTAGACTACAAACCCCAACAAGCCTGGCTTTTCTACATCACATTTCGCCATCGCTTTTTAGCTTTTTCAGAAAGCGGTTTTCCGGAGTTGAAAGCCATGCAAGGAGAAGTGCTTTTGATCAAAGAAATACTTAATGTAATATTAAGATTAATAAATTAGGGTTTGAGTGGGATTTGCAAACGTGGGATTCATCCATGAGAAGAACACTAAAGAGGAGAGATGGATGTATATTCAAATGATCATTGAACTGTGGAAAAAGGGTAGTAATGTTGGATGAACTTTAGCGTTTGTAAAGTAGCGTAACACAGAAAGTTTGTGATATTCAACTTTTTGATTTTCTTGAAAAGTACTTTTGTCTGGTTGCAGAAGAAGTGCATGGAGACAAAGATTTCGCAGACTAATAATTTTTATGATATTAATTCTTCGATTTTATAGTGCATGTTGTTTGGACATGGATATGGTCAAGTTAACAAGCAAAACAAAAGGGTTCTCGTTTTCTGGTATTTTGGGTGTTTTAGGGGATGGGGAGGAGGGTGGAGGAGGAGAAGACCGAAACATAGAGAGAGAGAGAGAGAGAGAGAGAGAGAGAGAGAGAGAGAGGGCAGCAGAGAAACCGATGCGAGAAACGCCACGTCTTCTGCGGCGAAGGATGGTAAAACTTCAGACTCGTTTGTCTGCAAGCTTTTGGATGTGGAATACAACTAATTGATAATACATTTTGACCCTCCAATCCACCATCGATGCCATATTCACTGCCACTCCTATATATATTTTACTCTACCTTTGTCATTTGTTTGGTTTTTGTTTAATTGGGACCAAAATCAAAATCATGAATGGGTCAAACTCAACTATTATGCGGTTTGAAGAACAATTTATATGAAATGTGTTTTATCGTCGCGTGATGTTTCAATTTAGTGGTGCAGTACATTGTCGAGAAAAATTCTACAATATTATATTGTTCAATTGGAACGATATGATGACAATAACTTTAGGTTAAATTGCTAATTATTAAGGGGAAAGGGAATCGAACCCGCATCAGTGTGCATAAACATTATTGTATTTTGCCATTGCAATAAAATGTTATTTGCACCTCATAGTCAAATCACAGACACTATGTATCAAGAAATTATTGATTTATGAAAAATTATAAGCAAACTCTCTTAAAGTAAGATTCTCCATGAACTCTCACTCACCTTGTGTTTTTAGCATAATCCATGTGTCAATATTATAAAACATTGTGCCAAAAGCATAAGTTGACGAAAAGTTTAAAGAGAGTCATGCTTTTAAGATAGTCTCTTTTATCGTTTAATCCAAAAACTTGATGCAGCAATCCAACCAAAGATGGAAAGTAATCAGTCACACATTAATGTAATTAATGAAATTAGTTAAAATGGGGTGGGTCATCAGGATTTGCAAAACTCCTGGCCCAAAATAATGGGCCACTCACAATGTCCAATCCAGGAATTAAACCAAGGCAATCCGTACATCAAACTTGTTTTCGGACTCCTGCCGATCTGGAGTGTTCGACTGTGAGGCCGTCCAGAGCTCGTGCGTGTCACGTGCCAGGTAATCATTTGCCCTTCTTCCTTGTCCTAATTTCATCGGCTGTCTTCTTCTTTGCTTTCACACATTCTGCCCCTGTATTGGATCTAAAATTACATTTCTGCGTATAAATGGGAATACAATTTTATGGAGTTTCCATTAGAAAATAGAATGATGCTCAATAGTAAAGCATAATTAGAAAGGGACCAAAATTTGCTAATAAACTTTAACAATATATTCAAAATGTACACAAGATACAAATCTTAATATAACTGTAGAAGTATTAAGTAAATACAGTAAACACTAAAGCGGACAAAATCTGCACAAATAACAAAAGAAACCAACCAAAATCACAATTTTTAATATAACGGAAAAATAATTAATGTAAATGTAGCTAAACTAAAACAGACATAATCCACACAAATAACAAAAAAGAAACCCATCGAAATCTAGCATAATCCATGTGCAGCCTAAAACAACCAAAATTCTAAATGGTAGCACACAAGACTACATTATCTACAAATTCACAAGGTGGTACACCATATGTCATAATAAAAGTGGAGAGACATTGAAAACTATATTCAAAAGTGGAACATACCAACACTCTCATCCGCTTATGCTGTACCATGTGGTGTACCAGCTTTTATTCTAGGTACACAAAACACAACCTATGTCTTTGTAATTTATAGTTTATCCTTCTTCTTTTTTTTAGAATTAGTCATTAAGTCTAATATTTTGACTTAATTTGCTATTGAAAGTGTTAGTCACCTAAAAATATGGGCCATGCCTTTATCACATCATCATGTAACCATCATGTAACGATAAATTTAAAATTAGATAAAAATTTGAAGGTAAAAAATGTAATTTACCCCACATATAAAATTAGATTAGTTTTATATTCTATTACCACGGTCGGTTGGTAATATAAGATTGCATGCAGGGTTAGAGTAAAAGGGGAAAGCACAAAAACAGTCTGCTAATTTTCCACTTTTCCCTGAATGCCATTTAAACTAACCCGGAAAGTGGCAACACAAAACTGCTGATTTTCAACTTCGAATTTTCTAAAACTCGAGTTTGATTTTTTCTAGCTATTTTCAAGTCGGTATTATACGAGGCTTGTGGACGAATCGTGAACCCAACGTACGGCTCGGTAGGCATGATGTGGTCCGGGAGCTGGGACCAATGCCAGGCAGCCGTTGATGCAGTTCTTGAAGGACCGCCCATCACAGGAATTGATGCGGATGCGCTGCAGCAGAACACGAACCCGAACCTGGATCCTCCTCACATATCCGGGGACATACGCTATGTGTCTACGGACACAAACTCGGGCTGTTCGTCTCGTAACAAGGCAAGAACCCTGGAACAAGTTGAAAAGGTCCATAAACCGGCCCAAAGTCCAACCAGATTTTGCAACCGGGTCAAACATCAATAATTTGGCACCAATCTGCAATGTTCCCGACCCGGATGACTTGTACCCGAGTCCGCAAGGAAACGGGTCTAGCAGAAATCAGCAAGCTGCTGATGATCGAGATGGAGCGGCCGGAGCTAGCTCTTGGTCTTGTGTTACCTCTTCCAACCAATGTTAATTAATTTATTTATTATCTATTAATTTATTATTAAGATGTGGATGCTTGTGGGAGTGACAAGTGGATTAGCAAATGTTTTTTCCTTTTTAATTTGATTAGAAATGTTATAATTGGTTAGTGTATTTTAAATTGGTATGGAAATGTCTTATTAAAGAGTTTATGGTGAATTGTCAATTTAGCATTTGAATTATCACCTAAGTCAAAATTAGTACCTAAACTATTTTTTTCAAAAAAATCAGTCATTGAATTATAAAAATCTACCAATTACATTCCCAATATTAGATTCAAAGCTACTATATTCAATTTTTCGTCAATTTAAGTCACATTACTTGCATGTGATACACATTAGAGGGTATATTGATAATTTTTTCATAAAGAAATAGTGTATGGAGTTAACTTTTGAGGGTAAATTAGATGTTAGATTTGCAATCTATATATGAAATGGTAAGGGCTTATAGGCGAGGAAATAGCGGTATTACGCTCTAAAGTGTGTGAAGTGACTTAAGTTGACAAAAAATTTGATAAAATAGCTTTGAATATAATAGTAGAGACGAAATTAGCAATTTTTAATGAATTTAGAGACTTATTTTACCAAAAAAATTAATTTAGAGACCTAATGTCATTGAGATGAAAGTTTAGGTATTAAATCGGCACTTCACCCAAGAGTTTAAAATTGTCTTAATCAGTTTGGGATTAAAACTTTAAATGAATCTTGATACTTAGCACTCATAGATGAATTGGAATTGTGTGTCAATTTCTACACTGATTTATATAGAAGAAGCAGAGTGATTGTTTCAATATAAATAGTGATCAATGCTCTCACAAAAAAAAAAAAAGAAGTTCATTATTGGATTTAGACCTTGTAAGTCAGCATATTATTTCTGTTAGAGATCAAGAGAAGCTTAGTATTGAAGTCGAGTATGAGTTCATAATTTTCGTTTATTGAAAGTCAGATTAATTCTTACAAATTAGGCAAGTTGAAGTGCTAAACTACCTTCAAAACTTATGCATAACCAGTTATATCAAAGTCTAGCTACCTTTCCCTCAGTTTCAAGAATTGGAGAGAGCCAACCTGACACGCCCCGATCCTACTATTATCCAAATATCAGGATAAGCACGTGTTGGCCAACACCCGAAGGTGACGAAATCCATTTATTGAATACATGAGGATTAAAATAAGAATAAGATAAGAGAAATTTAAATAGAATTAATATTAAGATTATGCATGACATGTCCAGAGCATACGTCTAATACAAAGTACAAGCGGAAATTAAGATAGAGAGTGATATTACAACAGATGCCGAAGCAGAGAGAATATAGCATGATATCAATGGTAGGGGAATGCCTCGTAGATGAGATCGTATTCATCTACCAGTGATATCGTGCTATATTCTCCCTGCTTTAGCATCTGTTGTAATAGCACTCTCTATCTTAATTTTCGTTGTACTCTGTATTAGACGTATGCTCTGAATATGTCATGCATAGTCTTAATATTAAGTATATTTAAATTTCTCTTATCTTATTCATATTTTAGTCCTCATGTATTTAATAAATGACGGCAGCACATGCCTATCTTGGTATTAGGGAAACATCGGGATCAGGGTGTCTCACAACCCCCAATATAATACCCCCTCTCCTTCGTAGACCCAACTTAAATAGCCAAAATAGAAGAAACATGCATTGCAATCATCAAAATATAAAATCCCTATAGGGTATAGGGCTACCACGGAGTGAATTCGCATCCAAACTATCGGATGCAAATAATTGCCTTTTTATAACAGAAAATTGGGTATGAAAATTGTTACAGTTACTAACAACGAAACAAGATGAGCCTACATCCGTAAAATTTTGACCCATGAGCTATATATATACATACATACATACATATATATACATACATATATATATATATATAGGGAATTGATATTGACACTCAAAAAATCTCATTTTACATTCTAAACTTTCTATATTTGAAAAGAAAAATATATTTGTGAGGGATGTAGAATGAGATTTTTGAAGTGCTAATAACATTTCCTTATATATATATATATATATATATATATATATATATAGAGTCAAAAATGTTTATTTGAATAATAATTGATGTACCTGCTTGTGCATGTATACACAAACTCAAGTTTACTATGAGGTAAACTATGGACTCAACCACCGGGCGGGAGGGACGTTCATCTGGCAGGCACGGGAAAAGCAGATCCTGCAAAGGATGCTTTCTTGACAAACCTCCCTTTCATTCTTGGTCTCTTCTCGGCATTCAGCTTTCGAACTTCGTACCTTATTTTCTTCGAGAACAGCCTTGTCCTCCTCTTTTCTCTATATCTCGACACCCTCGCCTCCCTCCCTCCGTCCGCCATTGCCGGGTGAATTCCAAGCCCGTTCATATCCCCATAAGGGTAATGAAGTTCAGCTCCACATGCACTCTGAGAAGGTCACAAACATATTTGTTAATTACTAAGAACTAATTATAATTTGGCACTAACTCTATCTGCTTACGAGTTAATTAAACAGATATCAATTGTTCTATTTATTGTATCCCTCCACAAATATAATCAATTATATTAATTGATTTATTTATCAATTATTGAATTTTATTTTATTTTTTTGAACAAAAGGTCAATTATCGAATTTGAACATAAAATTTCTTTCACTTATATATGAGATTTGAACTGAAATTGAACCTCATATATATATATATATATATATATATATATATATATATATATCCATATGACTTGTACTTTACACGAAAGGAAAAGTATTGAAGATTTAGGGCAGTAAGTACAAACCATGTAGTCAGGCAAGCATTCGGAGTCGAAATCCGGGCGGTCACCGGAGGTCCACGGGGAGCCATCCCAGGCTGTAATTACCGCCTCGTAATCCAGCCTCAAAATCATCTTCCTCTTCTTGCTGTTATCTGTTGCATCGTCGTCAGCCTCCTCACGTTCATGATCTTCTGTACTACAATTACTATAGATTCCCACTCTCAGTTTGTCATCCTGCTCACCGCACGATGCTGGCGAGTCATCGTAATCTTCAATATTCAATGCAAACGGCTCCCTCATCATGTCAATCTCACTCTCCCCTAATTGGCACCCCATAAAATCAACGTTGTCTGTTCCCTCTTGATCATCATCCTCCTCAAGCTTCACTCTACCATTCGATTCCTTTTTTTTACAATCCATCAACCCTAACCTTTCCATCCCAAAACACTCGTCATCATCAAGGCCTCTCCCCAGCAAACTATCCACGTCAGCCGCGAACTCCGCAAGATCCATGTCGCTCGGAGGCAGAAACGCATCGTGGCCGTTAAAATTCGGCAAAGACGAAACTGCTTTTGATTCGCTTCCGACATGATCAGAAACAGTAATAAGATTGGTAGCTTCATAATTAGGAACTGCATCTTCCTTAGAATTATCAGAGTTATTGCAAAGCTCCGCAACAAACGGATCGAATATCGGAACCCTATAAAGCAGCTGCTGGTCCTCTGTATTTTCTTCATCGTACGAGTTATTATCATCTCCCCCAACTTCCGGAACCTGCGGAAACAGGTTCCGGACGCCATCCTGGGATTTTCCATGATGTGTCATGGACTTCCCGCCTCTCGGTGTCCGTGCCTTCCGCGTGAACCCGCGGTGCCAAGACGGTGCCGCTGAGGTCTCCGAAACAGCGCTCGCTCGATCATCTTTGTTGCTAGGTTTGAGCGACGACGCCGTCTTCAAGAGAACTCTTTTGTGCCGATGGGCCAACTGGTTGGCTGAGTGCACGGCGGAGTCGCAGGCTTGGCATAAGAAAGCGTCGTCGGCAGCGCAGTACCAACGAGCTCTCTTTTTTATGCAGCTGTCACACGCTCGGGCAGTTTTACCGCCGACGGCGTTTGCCACTTTCTTGCTAGAATTCATCAAAGAAAACAAAATTCGACACAAAATTTGAAATCCCAAAAGCTTTTTCTGAGAGAGTACAGTTAAATAGTGCGAATTCGAGAGTAGCAACTGTCTGCTAAAATGCACTTTTATATAAGTGAAAAGCGCAAGAAATAATTAGGGTGGGAGTGCATGCCCCACAACCGGTGCTTTTACAGAGCATAAAACAGCGAAGGCAGCTCTTGGATCTGCACTTTTGGGGAGGAGAGAGAGAGAGGACCGTACTTTCGGGCCCTCAGAGAGGCTTATCTGTTTCCCAATTGGTCGAGTTTACAAATTCGATCCGAATCCCCGGCTTCCCATTAGCTATTTCTCCCTACAGATTTCTTGTTTCGTAGTGATACGGGTCCCATCTCTCACTTTCTTCTTATCCGAATTGTAAAAAGACCGTTTTGTTAGTTTTTCATCCCTGCCATGGTCCATCGGTACTAGTTTAAATTTCGGAGTTTTGCATTTCCTCCAGCATTGTGGTCCTCCCATGATCCACGTGTCCTCTAAAAAGAGCTTGGCTTCTATCCATCGTAAAGAACGAAGATCCTCAGAATTTTTAAAACATGTCGGTTCATCGTATATCGTACGGTCAGATTTCGTCGGGTACTATTTATATTTAATTTTAAATAAAAGTATTTAAAATAATTTTTGACAACACAATATACGATAAACGATAAATTATCATAATTTAAGAACTTCTAAGATCTTCACAAAAAGGATTCGGATATGATACTGATTCCATCGTAGATCCTCGTTGGAGTGTGATAGGACCAATCATCTAATAATATCAGTCCTCGTGCATAAAGATCATTTTTTTCACCCTAGAAAGGTAGTACTCATTAAAACAAAAAAAACAGGATAATGTTTGAGAGCATGAATTTGTAGATAAAATTTGCAAATCAAAAGGTGTTCATAAATAAGAATGAGCACGTTTTTCGATGCTTAAAGTCATAATTCAATTACCAACTTTCATGTCATTTAGTTTACAAAACTTTGTCTGTAAATTTAGTTTCTCTAGTATTTCCTAAAACATGGATCTAACTCTAACAGTGAATTGTGGTCTTGCTGCGTATATAACTCTCAAATTCTACGCCGCTTTTATCATTTAGATTACAAGTTAACTTTGTGTAGGAAGTGATTTATCGAACTTTTATTTTCTTTTTCAAGTTGATGGATAAAAAGTCACTCCTGACTAGTAGTAGAAATAGATGGGTTGGATTAAGAATATGAACACAGCCAATTGAGGCACGACCTTGACGTACAAAAAATGTTTGAAAAGAGGTCGTTGATGATTAGTGGTTTGAATTCACACATCTCGTTGTCAGGAACGAAGCTAGAGATTTGTATGAGCGCGGACATCCTCAAACAACAAAGTCACAATTAAATATCTCAAAAATTTATAAACAAAACACTAATATATTAATCCATAAAGTTTTTCATAAAACATATTACATTATTCCTCGAATCGTTTTCATGTTTTGAAAGCATTGTATAACAATATCATTACCAATACCATTAATTATCTCTTTATATAAAAATAATCATGTTATCATTCATCCATTGATTTCTAAATTAGAAAGCTAAATTCTAAATTGAAATGCCAAAAACAAATTAATGAAGTAGAGTTGTATAAAATACCTTATGGAGTAAAATTCTTGTGTTGAATTTTGATAATTATTACTTGAACTCAAACTGTCTATAACACTCCAAATTCAATTGAGTTTTGAAGGGGAGGAAAAATCTGGAGAAGTTGAGGACTGGAATTGTTTTGCCGTGGTGGGATGAGTTTTGTGTGGATTAACGATCTAGGGTTAGAAAAACGGGGAGGCACAATTAAATTAATTGTTAATCAAATTGTCATCAGGTAGGGCATTTGGGATCCAAAATGGTAGACTAGTTTAGTTGCCTACCAATTTTTTTAATTGTAGTTTAATTAGGGCTGGTTATTGAGAATTGGAACACAAGCATACAATTTTTTTTTAAATGAGTGGGGGCAGCCGCCCCCCTTAGGCATACACTAGCTCCGTCCTTGCTCTTATCTAGTTAATTAGATAAAAGGATAAGTAATAATTGTGTATGAATAAAAGGTGACGTGGAGATCATATAAATTGCAGAAGATTACCGCAACGGCCAAAAGGTCGTTGAGAATTGAGACTTTTCTCCGAGAAAAATATGTCGACATGGTATTATTATTCCTTGTTTTGGTTACGTTGAAAGGGACTTGTGTGTAGCTATCTCTGTGTGTAGGACCTAAACAGTAATAGCCCATCCCTCTCCATCTCTGTCTAAAATAATTTTAGAATCTCACTCACTTGTGTATGTTTGTCTACAACTGTACAACATGTCAACATGTACGTATGGGATAAGGTTTTGGTAACATGTTTTGTAATATTGGTATCGGTATGCGTATGGGAGAAAATGATGAATGAAGGATTAAGGGAGGAGTAGGAGAAACAGAGGATAATACGTCAGAACAAAATCTGTAAGTGAAAACAACTTAAAATTATTATTGGTGTTTAGTTTTTAAATTTTATATTGTGTGTTATTGCACTTACATTTCTTTCTCTTCCTTCCCTTACGTACTTCATTTCTCCTCTCTACCACATAACGAAAAACAATGACAAATGTATTGACTTCTATTGGATTTTCCATAAAATATTTCCCACCACATGAATTTAAGAAGGGATATTGCTAACCCATTTGTACATTCTACACACTTGTTAATTTTTTAACATTGATCATTTTCTTCAATCAAACAGTCGAAATTTGAGGGTGTGTGGATAACACTTCCCTTTAAGAAGTAATATAGGACTCATCAACTAGTGAGTTAGAGAACTTCAATTACGAAAGAAATGAAAAACCAAACGATGTACATAACTAATCAAATAGATAATATTGAACCTGTCACACTGAGAGAGGAGAATTTGGGTTGTCAGGCAATGAACCCGTCACAATAGATTATATTGAACTCGTCATTCACGATATTCAAACTTAAGACACTGATAGGTGAAAAAGAATACTACTAGATTACAGTACTAAGTGCATAATTTAAAATATAATGTTGGGCTATTGTTGAAGTCTACCTTTACGTCAATCACCGGGCCTAAGGCCCATATTGATTTGTAACATTTTAAGTTCGGCCAAGAAGGCCCATTAACCATAGAAACCTGAGAATGTTAAGCTTTGAACTTTGGGCAACAATGGCAATTTCGTCATTGAGAAATCCAATCGCCTCGTTGCCTTGGGTGTAGGGTTGGTTGGTAATTTGCCGAGCTGCTGAGGCAAACCAGTGTTCCCGTCCAAGATCAGAGGCTCGCGTTCGGTCTAAAGGCTCAACCTTTGTAAGTGTTTGCTTGAAACGGTGTCGTTATTTGTCAATTTACAGCAAGCTCTGCAACTTTCTTCGCACTCTGTAATTTTGCTCACCTGCATATATGGATAGATGTTATCTTCGCCATTAATTTTTTTCGCATGAAATTATGGATACAGCCTTAATTTTACTTAATCAAACTTTAACATCGGAATTTGTATTGATTCTAAATTTTCCTTCATTAATTATATCTGATTATGGAACTCCCAAGTGCAATTATGCAAAAGCATGTTTCCAGCTTTAAGAATTATACTTCTAAGTGAAAGTTTTGGACGTTTTAGAGATTGGAATGCAGAGTTGTAGTTGATGTAATCGAAAACACCGAAACCATTGATGCAGTTCAAAGAGGAATTCGATGGTAGTAAGTTATTATGCAGAGTGAATCATGCACTTGGAGGATGACAAAGACCTTCCGTTACAGTTTTTGAACGAAAGAGGGAATTCGGGTGCACATTTTGTCACCGAAGATGGTTCCATAGGTTTGCCGATAAAGAGGAATTCGAGGATATATAGTCCTTTTTTCTATTAGGATGGGATTCTATATATATGTATTAGTTAGTTCGTTGCAAGTAGTGAACTGATCGCAGTTAAGATGGACGTTTATGATTTACTATTTTGTAGGTGTTGTCTGCGATTCGCAAGATCAATTCAGAGTATTGATTATGCTCCTAAGTTAGAAAAAATAAGGATGATTAAGCAATATTCTCTACATCGATGCGTATTTAAGTGCTTAGTGTTGAATTACTTTGAGGAGCTAATTTGACACCGATATATGAGGTTTTTATTTCTTTTTGAAAGAACGAGATAGGAGTTCATCATTTGAGGTTATTTAATTGTCATGTTTAGCCGACGTGTTTGAGACTTGTTACCTTTTAAAGTATGATCTGTGATCTGATGGAAATGGAATCCATTGTAGTACTCCATAGATCTTAAATGGCATCATTAAAACAATCGGGGAAGCATGGAATCAATGAAGAGCAAGGATTTTACGTATATTTCCATTCAATTCTTTTGTTTCGGTAGCTCTGTTCCTTGAACAGCTGGACCAAGGATGATGTTTCATCTTCTGTCCTAATTTATGTCTCCCTTGATCATACTGAACTAGTGTGATGATGGCATCATTACTGCAGGATCTCCCGATGTCAGGGAGAAACCGTGTGTCTCGCCATTCTAACGGTTATCGAGGTTATCATGATGATCCACGACCTGTTATGAACAGAGGGCCGGGATCCTTGTCTATTCACCTTGCAGCTTTGGAAGAACAACTTGCTGTGCAGCATAGAGAAATGCAGCGAATTATTGCTGAGAACCGGCTTGTAATTGATGATAATACCCTTCTTCAAAGGCAATTGGCAGATGCGAAAGATGAAATTCATAGACTGGGGCAGGCTATACCTAAAATCCGGGCTGAGAAAGAGGCGCAGTCTCGGGAGTTGATTGAGAGAGGATTGAAGCTAGAAGCTGATCTCCATGCTACAGAGCCTTTAAAGGCAGAAGTTGTGCAGTTAAGAGCTGAAGTTCATAAATTAAATAATTTACGGCAGGAACTGTCTTCCCAAGTCCAAGGTCTGACACAAGACGTTACTCGGTTGCAAGTGGAGAATCGGCAACTAATTGCCATGGGGGCTGATATTGATGGGATGCGAAACGAGCTTGTCGAGACCAGGTTTTAACAATGCATTTTTAATTAGGTTAATAGCCAAAATAGTATCTTGCTCTTCTTTTCCTTTTTAGGAGATGGGTGCACACATTAGGAAAACGCTTAATGCGTTTTCAACCACGTTAGCTGCTGCTCTTTTGTCTGCATATTTGGATTGATTTTGCAACTTTTTTAGGAGAGCTTATGAATTTGAGAGGAAAGCCAATGAAGAACAAGTTGAACAAAAGCAAGCAATGGAAAAGAACCTCGTTTCCATGGCTCGTGAAATAGAGAAGCTAAGAGCAGAGCAGCTGAATGCAGACAGGAGGGCACGAGGACTAGGTGAATCTCCATCTCTCTCTCGCTCTTTCTCACCCATGCGCGCATACACACAAACACAGAGAACTCTAGCGCTCATGGGCCTCTTACTCCGGCAGGCAAGTTGTTTTGACTGCTCTCATGTTTATGTATAGGTGGTGGGGG